TCCCCTGCTGCGTCAGGCGTAGGACTGCCTAGGTTGCCTAGTCTAGTCGCTGCACCGGCTCCGTCCCCGGCCTCCGCCACTGCGTCGCTGTCCTTCACTCTCGACTCCGGTGCTTCTGCCTGCTTCTTCCGCGACCGTTCCACGCTCACGCCGCTTGCTGCACCTGCTGTTGTCTCTCTCGCTGACCCCTCTGCGGGTCCGGTCGTCGCGCGCAGTTCTACGTCCCTTCCCTGTCCGGCAGTTCCCTCAGGCTCCCTTACTGGCCTCCACGTTCCCTCGTTCTCCAGGAACCTGGTTGGTGTCGGCTGTCTCAAGGACCTCGGCGTCACCACCACGTTCCCCGGGCACGAGCGGTTCGCTGTCTGTTCTGAGGCTGTCTCAGGTTCCCCCCTTGCGACGTTCCCCCGGGACCCGGTGTCCGGTCTGTTTACCCTAGACACCGCTTCCCCCCCGGTTGGTGCGTCCTCCCAGGTCGCTGCAGCTTGCTCGTGTCGGTCCCTCGCTCACCCCTCCCTTCTCTGGCACCACCGCTTAGGTCACCCTGCTCTCCCGTGTCTGCGTCACATGTCCCAGCACGGTCTTGTCTTAGGTCTCCCTGCGTCGCTCCCTGCCCTTCCTCCCTCGACTGCGCCACCGTGCACGCCTTGCGTCGAGGGTCGGCTTCGCCGTGCTCCTCACTCCTCCTCGCTGCGTCCTGCTACTGCCCCCCTTCAGACCCTGCACTTGGACGTTTGGGGCCCTGCCCCCGTCCCCGGACCGCGCGGTGAGCGCTACTTCCTTGTGCTCGTCGACGACTACACGCGCTACACCACGGTGTTTCCCCTGGAGCGGAAGGCCGACGTGCCCGACGTTCTTCTCCCGTTGGTTGTGGCTGCGCGTCTCCACCGCGGTCTCCCCGTGTTGTGTCTCCACTCCGACCGTGGCGGCGAGTTCGCCTCTGGTCGGCTTGGACAGTTCTGTCGTGCGGAGGGCATCACCCAGTCGTACACCTTGCCAGACTCGCCACAGCAGAATGGGGTTGCTGAGCGCCGCATCGGCTTGGTCATGGAGGTCGCCCGTACCTCCATGATCTATGCCGATGCCCCCCATTTTTTGTGGCCGTTCGCTGTTCGCTACGCTGCTCACCAGCTTAACCTGTGGCCACGCTCCCAGCGGCCGCAGGTTTCGCCGACCCTCCTTTGGACCGGGTCCCCCGGTGACGCGTCTGCGTTCCACGTCTGGGGCTGCCTTGCTCACGTTCGTGCCTCTGGCACGGACAAGCTCACTGCCCGCACTGTCCCCTGTGTCTTCCTCGGTTTCCCCCTGGACTCGTCTGACTGGCTTTTCTACCACCCGCCGTCTCACCGCTTCCTCCACTCTCGTGACGTCACCTTTGACGAGTCCGTCTCCTTCTACCGCCGCTTCCCTCACCGAGGTCTCCCAGTTGCCCCCCCCCTGTTCCTTGCTCCCTCTCCCCCGGTAGCCCCTGCCCCTCTCCCGCCTCGTCCTGCCCCGTCTGGTGTCTCCCACGTCACTCCCCTCCCGTCGGTTGTCCCCGTTGAGGAGTCTGCTGACTCTGGTGGTACCCCCGGTCCGTCCTTGCCGCGTCCCCCTTCCCCGGTGCCTCCGCCCCCACTGTCGCAGTCGCCGACCCCGCTGCCGCCGCCGTCGCCGTCGCTGCCGCAGCCGTCGCCGCTGTCGTCACCGCCGCAGCCGTCGCCGCCGCCGCCGCTGTCGCTGCCGCAGCCGTCGCCGCTGTCGCCGCCGCCGCAGCCGTTGCCGCCACTGCCGCCGCCGCTCTTGGCCCCTGGGGGTGCTGGTGTGGAGGAGGGTGTTCGTCCTGCGGCTTCTGGGGGTGCCGCTGGTGTTGGAGGGGGTTCTCGCTCTGGGGGTGCTGCTGTTGAGTGTTCTGCCGACGGTCGTTCTGCCTCTGCTGGTCCGAGAGTTCCGGCCCAGCCGTCGTCGCCGCCGCAGCAGCCGTCGCCGCCGGTTTCCGCTCTCCGCCTGCTCGGCCTTCCCTCACCGGACCGCGCGCCGGTGTCTCCCCCACCGCCTGCTGACCTCCCTTTCTACGGTCCTGTGTTCCCGCCGCCGGACTCGTCTCCGGCCCGTCTTCCTCCTCGTTCCCCTCCTGTGTCTCCTCCGCTGTCCCCTGACCCTACCCCTCCGTCTCACGTTTGGGCTCGCCGTCCCCCCCGTGCTCGTCCCGTCTCTCCTGTCCTGCCCACCCACCCTATGTTGCTCCGTTCCCGCTCGTCTCGTCCTCCCCTCCTCCCGTCCCCTCCTCCCTCGTCCCTTGCTGTTGCACCTCCTCCGTTCTCTGACTACCTCCGTGCTTCTCGTCCCCTTGTCCCTCGGGTCCTTGCCTCTCTTGTTACCGACCCTGCTGTTCCTGTCTCGCGCCTTGACGCGCTTGTCGCCGCTGTCGCTGACTTCGCTTCTACCCGTCGCCTTGACTACGCTACCGCTCTGGTCTCTGGCCCTGCCCGTCCTCTGTCCGTCGGGGGTGCTCCTGCCCTTGGCAGTGACGTCCTAGAGGACAGGCAGTACGAGCTGGCTTTCCTTTCCGAGGCTGCTCCCCATCTCTGCTCCATGCTCCTAGTCCCTGAGGGTGACCCAGACGCCTTCGACATCCCGACCCCTCGCACCTACGCTGAGGCCACCTCGGGACCTTGGGCCTCTCAGTGGATAGCTGCCATGGAGCAGGAGATGGCATCTTGGAGGTCCACCGGCACTTACGTCGACGCAGTTCCCCCGCCTGGAGTGAACGTAGTCGATGGTCGGTGGCTCTTCAAGGTGAAGCGCCCCCCTGGAGAGCCGCCTGTCTTCAAGGCGCGCTACGTGGCCAGAGGTTTCAGTCAGCGCGAGGGGGTTGACTTCTTCCAGACCTTCGCCCTGACCCCGAAGATGACCACTCTTCGGGCGCTGCTACACGTAGCAGCACAGCGTGACTACGAGCTTCACTCCCTCGACTTCTCTACTGCCTTTCTTCAGGGCAGCCTACACGAGCAGGTCTACATGCGCCGACCACAGGGCTTCACTGGTACCTTCCCTCCTGGGACCTAGTGGCTTCTCAGGCGCCCGGTCTACGGCCTGCGTCAGGCTCCCCGCGAGTGGCACGACACGCTACGTGCCACGTTAGCAGACCTGCAGTTCTTTCCGTCCTCTGCTGACCCTTCACTGTTTGTGCGTTCCGGCCAGACTCCGTTCTACATCCTTGTCTACGTAGACGACCTGGTCTTCGCTACTCCTGACAGGGACGCACTGGCCTCTGTGAAGGCTGAGCTGCTGAAGAGACACACCTGCACTGACCTTGGAGAGCTGCGTCGCTATCTTGGCCTGCAAATCTCCAGGGACAGAGCAGCACGCACCATCACTGTGACCCAGTCACACTTGGTGCGTCAGGTCCTTCAGAGGTTCGGTCTTCAGTTCTCCTCCGCACAGCCCACACCTCTACCCGTAGACCATGGGCTCTCTGCTCCCGTTCCTGAGGAGCCAGTAGAGCCCAGTGGCCCCTACGCAGAGCTGGTGGGTTGCCTCATGTACCTGATGACTTGCACGCGCCCAGATCTCGCATACCCTCTCAGCATCCTGGCTCGCTTTGTGGCTACAGGCAGACACCGACCTCAGCACTGGTCTGCCGCTAAGAGGGTTTTGCGTTATCTTGCTAGTACATGAGGCATGGGGTTAGTGCTAGGAGGACGCAGGCCAGTGGTCCTTACTGGGCACACAGACGCTTCTTGGGCAGACGACGCTGAGACGCTCAGGTCGTCACAGGGCTACTGTTTCAGCCTTGGTTCGGGTGCTATCTCTTGGAGATCCACTCGCTCGTCGTCTGTTGCTCAGTCTAGCTGTGAGGCTGAGATCTACGCTGGTGCCATGGTGGCACAGGAGCTCCGCTGGCTGACCTTCTTGCTCACAGACTTAGGTGAGCAGCCTAGCTCTGCCCCGGTCCTGTACGCTGACAACAGGGCCATGATACTCCTGTGTCAGGAGCCTCGGCTTGAGGGCAGAGCGAAGCATATCCAGCTGCGGTACTTTCTCCTGCGTGAGCTACAGCAGCGCCGCCAGGCCCGCGTAGTTCACTTGGCCTCAGGTGCCAACACAGCTGATATCTTTACTAAGGCGCTTGCGCCTAAAGATCATCAGCGGCACTGTGTACAGCTTGGTCTTGTTCCTGTAGCTGCTCCCCTGTTAGGATCCTTATTGTGTACTCTCTATTATATATGCTTGTCAGACTGGCCTTGTGGCCTTACCTCCAGTGGCTGGACTAGTAGTGCCACCCTGGCTTGCTTCAGTTTTGGTTGTATTCTTGCTGACTGGTCTCCAGACCCCTGCCTCAGTGGTTGGACTAGTAGTGCCGCCCTGAGCTGTTTGTTTCTTGTTTAGTTTCACCCCTTGTCTAGCCTAGGGGGTGTGTCAATTTATACATATTATCTATGTAGAAGTTATAGGCTAGACTGAGGTATGCTTCTAGTGAGTACAACCAACTAGTATTTGTTCTAGGTTTCCACCTCTAGTCATTATTTCGTTCTCACTTTGACACAGCTTTCTTCCCTGTTGGAACTGTCTCGCATTGGTTTGGGGACCTCGTCGCACACTTCCGAAATCGCCCACCCTCCCTTAGGTGTGGCTTATGGTGGGTTCGTATCTGCCCAGTTTGTAAAAAAAGTTCAATGGCAATTACGCTCTAGCAACCCAACTTTTTCAAGAGTGCCCCCACTTCAAGAGCGGTTCCGTGTGGTGCGATGCAAGGTTAGGCTTGCCAAGATTCATGGGCGCGTTTCTGAACCTCTTTTCAGGCGAACAGGGTTTCAGATCAGACACGCGAATCTGTGAACTACAAAATTCGACGCGAGCTGTTTCTATGAGGTTGAGCTGAGAACGGTGGATTGCAAATCTGAAACGGGTTAGTTCGGAACGGGGGTCCTGGGAACACGCTCTCAGGGAGCGCGACTTTGGGAAGGGGTTGTCTGGGAAGAGGCTCGTGGGAACACTCCCTTAGGAGCCAGCACCATTCCCAGCAAAGGCTCAGTCAGTCAGTGTCCGTTATGGTCTGAAGTAGAAGGTGCGTACACTAAAAGGTTGAGACTAGTTGTTTGATACCAGATTCGCTATTTTGCAGTAGACAAATAACCCTGAATTCGGACACCATTGATGAACATGAGAAAGCACTGGTGATGCAGCACAACCTGCTTAGGTACGGCCCTTCCCTTGCTCCATCACCATAACCCCAGCCTTGTGACTTGTTCCCCCCTTGGTCAGTCCACGACCAGCGGTGCGGTGAGCTGTGGTTTTGAGCTGTGCCGGGCTCTACTTGCCGACGACGTTGATGCGCACGTCGGCCGTGACCTCTGGGTGCAGACGGATGGTGGCGGTGTACTGCCCCACCTCCTTGATCTCCGGCATCTCTATGTCCGCCTTCGGAATCTCCCTGGTGTGCTTGCACATGCACACACATGCACTCACATGCACGCACATGCATACACATGCACACACGTGCATGCACATGCACACACGTGCATGCACATGCACACACGTGCAGACACATGCACACACATCCATGCACATGCACACACATGCTCACAGATGCTCACACATGCTCACACATGCACTCACACATGCATACATTCTCATACTCACAATCAGGGGCACCCGAGCATGCAGGTAACCATCACACACACAGGCAGGGGCAAGATGAGTGCACCGACATGCATCCAGGAAGGCGTAACAAGCAGCAGTACCACGTGTAGGGGTGAAATCAGAGCATAGCCTCAGACAACACAAGAGGCGTGGTGGTGGTGGTGGCGGGTGGGTGGGTGGGAGGGTGGGTGGGGTGGGGCTGACCTGTTGGTGTTGGCCTTGATGATGTCCACGATGTCGTTCACACTCACACTGCCACGCACACGGGGGGGCGTGCAAGGGAGGACGGCACAGGGGCATAAATAAACGTACGCAGAATGAAACAAGCCAGGGAGCATGCAAGCTTCTGCATGCACGGGGGGGTGGGAGCAGACAAAGGACAAAACTCATCTGCCGACACAAACAACTCAATAGCTTTTCCTCCATACTTTCCTGCTCACCAGCTCATCCCTACTCCCCGTTCAACAACTCTTCTCATCCATCTCCCCCTTAATACCCCCCATCGTATCCAATTCCCCTCTGCACTCCCCTTTCCCCATCCCCTTCGTCCCTCTCCCTTCCACGGGCGGCGGCAGCACGTACGAGCCGAAGAAGGACTTGCCGGTGCCGGCCTTGCGCCTGACGGTGAAGCCGCCCACAGTCTGCAGCTGCCGCGCCACCTTGCGCGCCTCCTCCAGCACCTGGGGGCCCACGGACCAGTGCACGGGGGCAGAGCGGCAGCACGGGCACAGCGGGTGAAGGGTCGCAGGGCAGAGGGGCAGTGTGAGCACGTGTGGAATGGCATGCTTTTGGGCGAGTTGGAGTGTGAGAAAAACAAGAGAAGTGAAGGGGCGAGGAAAAGGAGATTGGGTAGTGGGGCTTGCAGGGAGGGAGTGACCGATTGAGAAGGGGAGGAGCGAGAACGGGGAGGGAATTGAACAAGGGGGAGAGGAGACAACGGCAGGGCAGCGAACGCAAAGGGGAATCGAATTGAGTGACGTTGAAAGACACGGCAGTCGTGAGAGCGGTTGCGCAGAGCAACGGAGCTGACCTTCTGCTTCTCAGCCTCGATCCGCTTCTGCTCCTCCTCTATCTGCCTGTCAGCCACAACCGCACGCAGCAACCACATGCAGCAGCGACAGGGGAAAGCAGGGGTCAGAAGAGAACAAAAACTGTTCTTTTGATAATTCCAGACAGTATAACCGCACGCATCCATGGAAACGCAAGCCCCGACGGCGCAGGAGAGCACGGCGCAAGAGAGCACGGCGCAAGAGAGCACGGCGCAAGAGAGCACGGCGCAAGAGAGCACGGCGCAAGAGAGCACGGCGTAAGAGAGCACGGCGCAAGAGAGCACGGCGTAAGAGAGCACGGCGCAAGAGAGCACGATGCAAGAGAGCACGGCGCAAGTGAGCACGGCGCAAGAGAGCACGGCGCAAGAGTGCGCAAGGAGCGCAGGGGCGCGAGAGTGCCGCGTCGCAGTGGCGCTGTGGATTGGTTATCAAAGCGCGTGGAACAGCGTCGTTCACAGGGGTGGCGTGGAGCGGCGGTGGCAACGCACTTGAGGATCTGCGGCGTGGCGGTCTTGGCGAAGCCCTGCGGGAAGAGGTAGTTGCGGAAGAAGCCCAGCCGCACCGACAGCAGCTCGCCCGCCTTGCCCACATTCGGCACGCTCTTCGTCAGAATGATCTGCACGGGGAAAATGTTGCGGGGTGGGGGGGGGGGAGAGAGAGAAAGGGGAAGGCGAAGAAGACACGCAGAGAGAGTGCTGGTAAGAACATTGCGCCTCTCTGCTCGTCAATCCCCAGCCTGTCACCCCCTCTCCCTCTTTCTGCTCGCTCTCAACGCCGCCACCCTCTCCTCCCACACACACGCACTTGCTTCCGCTCCACCCCCCCCCCTTTTTTCTCCTTCAACCTCAACCCGTACTCCCCCGTATCCTCCCTTCGTTCTCCTCGCTCCGCCCCTCGTTGCCCCGACCGCTCGTCCCCGCGTTCTCCCTTCCTCCCGAATATCCCCCCTTCGGTACATCCAGAGCACGTCACGTGTGCGCCGCCGCGCAATCTGCCCTCTTCCACCACCACCCCCTCTTCCCCTCTCTCAACGCGGAGGCGCTCTCTCTTCCACGCTTTCGCGCACACGCTTCCCCGCCCCCTCCCCCACCCCCTCCTCTCCCCCCCTCACCTGCTTCCGCTTCACCACTTTCTTCGTGGCCACCACCACCTGCTGCGCGGGCGACGCTGCTGCGGGGAACGTCACCGCAGCGGGGCGCGCGGACACCTGCAAGGGGAGGGTTTAGCGGAAAGGATCAGACGCGCGGAGATTAGGAGATTAGAGAGATGGAGGCGCAGGCATTGAGCTGAGTGGGGTGCGTCGCCGTCGCCTTTCGCGATCACAAGGGACTAAAAGATAAGACGGATAGGGCTTCGCACATGTCAAAATATGCGGTGGGTGTGTGTGCAAAGCAACGAGCGACTCTATTAAGTGTGGAAAGGCGACGCGCAAGGAAAGTGCTTAACAGCGAATCGGGGCAGATGCTGCTGGATGGACGCGCTGATGGATGTTTCTTACTATACGACCCAAAGGGGAGGGAGGGGGGCGGGAGGGTCGAACTGGAAGTGCGCGTGGCCGACAGCGCAGCAGCGGCGGAACGAAACGAACCGCAACAACGGAAAAGAAAACAAGCGATGCAAACACGGGAAGGGGTACGAGAAAATAGATCAAATAGAGAAGGAACGCAGGGTACGCACATTCTCGGCACGAAGACCGCTGAAGGTGGCGAACGAGGCGGATGTGGTGGCAGCAGCCATGGCTCGCGGAGACTTTTCGGTTTGACCTCGGCTTTGCCTAGCTCAACCAGGAGAGTTGCCTCGAAAGGCTTCAGGGAGGTTTAGGGTGGCTGGAATGGAAGGGAAAGGAGAGCTGGTGGGGAGGGGAGAAGTGGGGAGTGGAGGATGAGATGACGGGGAAGTCAGAAAGGGGGACTCGGTGCTAGTTTCTATTGACGCTTTGAAAAGCTGAACTGCGCACCGGACTGCAACGGACTTCAACGCACGGGAGAAGCGAGGAACCGCAGGGCTACCTAAGGGCGTGTCCCAAGAGTACGTCCCCCATACATTTTATGCGGCCCAATCTGGTTTCTCGAGTTTCGAAGCGGTGAAACACGAAGACCGACTCTCAGCGTGTCGCACCGCACTCCACCGCATAAAGATTTTGTGGGACGTTCTCTTGGGACTCTCCCAAACAAACACAAAACCTACTGTCAATTGACGGCGTGTTTACATGTAGGGGTCACCGATTTGTTGGGAAGTTGTACCATCTTCCGCAAGGGCAACTGACCTGACTGCAATCAGACGTAAGCTTGGTACGCGCCCGAAAGGGCTTTTGGAGAAACTACCTTTCTCAATAGTTCTAAACCATTGCAGATCGTAATATATCTCTAAGCGTGTTTCCAGACAAACCACCTCAGCGTCACGTCAGAGGCCATGAAGTGTGCAAAAGAGAGACCTGTCAGATTAATCGGAGTGCTGACGTCAACCATGTTAGTGGGGGTGATGTCGTAAGCTGGTAGGAACAGAGTTCAGGGCCCGTTGCGCGCCAGATGTGGGGAAGCGAAGGGATGGTATGGCGTGGCACCACAGAAGTGTATGCTGACAGGACGGTCGTGAAGTGTATGACTCAACTCAACCTAATCCAACATTCCACTTATCTTTCCAATAAAATAGAATCTAGCATTTTAGTGCAACTTCATAGCATATAATGTTAACCACTATTCTATACCCTATGGTGTGCAAGGCAGTTGTAAGGAATTTTATTCCTTACCGGGTTGTACAGCATAGCGTACACCCAAAATCTAGGAAGACCAGGCTCGGTCCGATTCCAACGCAGCCCCGACCGGTCCTCCGAATCGCTGACCCATCGCGACCGTTCGAAGTACTGACGGATGCCAAGAATTTTGCCATTAGAGCGATGCTGTTACAAGACTTCGGCGTCGAACTCCAGCCAATTGCATGTGAGTCCAGGATGTTAAAAGCGGCAGAACACAACTACCCTGTCCACAACAAAGAAATGCTCGCCATCGTATACGCGTTTAAGGTGTGGCACTACTACATGAAGGGAGCCGACTTGAAAGTACGGGCAAACCACAAATCCCTATATTATCTCCACGCGCAGCTGAATCCCAACTCTTGATACATCCGCTGACTGAATTTCCTCGAATCCAATTTTCATTACACCATCACTTACAGAATGGGGGCCGATAACATTGCCGATCCCTGACATGCCCATCTGGCCACATCGCCTCCATTATTATTGCACAGACCAACCCTCTCCTTACTAGCCTATTTACTCACGGCTACGCCACTGACCCGTTGTTCACCCTCATCACCCACCAGCAAGCCACCACGGCCAAAGGAATTTATTTCCTAAAAGCCGGCACTGACCACATGTGGGTTCCCGCTTACCGCCTCCTTTGCGAGTTGTTAATTCAAGAAGCCCGTGATTCTAACTTCTCCGGTCGTTTCGAGGTTCATAAAAGCCTCGAGTTACTTCATTGTTATAATTACTAGCCTGATTCGTCATTCGATGTGCAGAGATATGTCGCAGCTTGCCCAACTTGCTAGCGTATAAAGTCCTCCCGACTGCGGCCAACTGGATTGCTGCAACCGCTTGAGCCACCCCAAAAGCCGTGGCAGCAATTGACGATGGATTTCGTTACAGAACTTCCCGCCGGCGTAACTGTCCTCCTTGTTGTCAACCACCTGACGGAGATTGCGCATTTCTCATCATATCGCACGACGATCACAGCCGAAGAAACTACGAAGCTGTTCATCTCCACTGTTGTTCGCCTGCACGGCCTCCCCACTGCGATCATCAGCGAGCGCAGCCCCAAGTTTACTTCTAAGTTTTGGCAAGAAACCTAGGAACAGTACGGCACCCGCCTCCAGTTTTCATCCGCCTACCACCCACAAACGGACGTCCAGACCAAACACACCAATCAAACCATGGAGCGGCTCATCCGCACCAACTGTCCCGATCCTACGAGATGGGAGGAGTTCTCGCCTATGCTAGAATTTTCTTACAACGCCCCATCCGCGACTTATCACTCTCCTTTCTTCCTCAACTATGGGATCGACCTTATGGTACCCACGACGACAAATATCGACAACCCCGTCCCTCGTTCCCAACATTTTGTCAGCGAGCTTCAGGATTCCCAGGAAAAAGCGATAGAGTTTATCCAATACAATCGCACCACGCTACATCAACCTTCACCGCCGAAATATTATCATGACGGTCGGGCAATTAGTCCTACTCCACACGACGAACCTCTGCTTGCCGTTACCATCCAAGTTATGGCCCTGATACTGCGGGCCACTCCGCATCGTCAAGATGGTGACACCTATCACTGCGACATAATTACTACCGGCCACTCACGACACCGTCCACGTCAGCCTCCTCCGACCATACGTCCCAAACATGTTAGTTGTCGCATGACCAACGGAACATGTCAGTTGGAATATACCTCGGTGTACTAAAGGATTCTTACCATTCGAGAATCATAGATTACAAAACACACAGAGTTTTGTATGCCCGCGACTGCATCTTCTACAAGGAACTATTTCTCAACAATTTTGACTACGACAAGGAACGCCATTAGCGAGATCCTGATCGCTACCGTGCCGAAATAAGTTTCGCCACCCTTCAAGACTAAGTTGATGCAGCTGAGGAATATTATCCACCCGCGAGTGCAGCAGCAGAATCTTCTATTGCTCCACAACCTTTTGTATTAGCATCTGAACCTGCTCATTCGTAAAAAAAAAACACTATTTGACTCCTACATTCCCAATCCATATGCCTATGGCACAGAAACCGTGCTATTCATTCCACTCTCGGACCCATTGTGACCAGCCATGTCACAGGCTGCCTATCATTATAAAGAACACCTGTGACGACAAAAAGCAGACGCAAAATCACATGATGGTGCACTCTATCTGCCATCCAAAATTAACGATGACGAGTCATCGAAGTTCGTAGCCTGCCTCATCCGCGTGGTGACCAGTCGGCTCTTCAAATCCTTGGACTTGCTGTCACTATTCAGCAACCAGTGGCCAAGATTGAGCCAAAAACAGTCAAGCAAGCCATCTCTGGCCCCGACACAGCTAAGTGGCAAGCACCTATGGATGCCAAGGCAGAGGCCTCAAGAAGCGAAAAACGTGGAAACTGGTTCCACGAGCAGCAGCGCGCGGCAAAAAGATTCTTTCAGGCAAGTGGTTCTTTCGCCACAAGACAAATGCAACAGGCAAACAGAATAGATTCAAGGGGAGATGGGTTGTTCGCAGATCTGAAGAAACCCATGGCATTGACTATGACTAGACTTTTGCTCCAGTTAGTCATCATGCCTTAGTTTGATTTCTACTCGCTATTGACGCCAGTCACCACCAACCCCTTCAACAATTGGACATTAAAAATGCGTTCTTATATATAGACGTCGATGTAGACATCCACGGTGAACTACGGCGACAAAATTCACATATGCAAACTGCTTGAATCTCTCTACAGCATCAAACAAGCTCCTCGCATGTGGCAACAGCATCTCCACTAAGTTCTTATTCACTCGACTTTGTGCAGCTGCCTCATGATCGCGGGATGTCAGACTTGAATTTTGGGGATGCTGCATTCTTCTAGTCATCTACGTGCAATCGTCTTCTCGCTTGTATGGAAGATCGGATTCAAGGTTCCCTCGACATGATTATTTCCTCCAAGGTTACTCAATTTCTCGGGTTAAACGTCGTCTGTGGCCCGGACGCCATCTATTTCTCTGCAGGCAAGTATGCAGAGACACTTGCGAAAAAGTTCGCCATCGCTCCCATCGGCCTCACTACTAATTTTCGTCATATTCTGCCCAACTACACACCCCATACTACCCCACCTATCGTCTCCGAGCACCAGCTTTACCAGCAACAGCTCAGGTGTCTTCTATTTCTAGTCGTTACCTGCCAACCTTATCTTACTTATATCAATAGTCAGCTCGCACAGTACCCGCGCTGTGCTGAATGGGAGAATATTGCAATTAACGAGCAGCAGTTAAAGATTCTGACTGTATCATGAAAGCTTATGTATGTTCCTGAATAGCTTGCTTAAAAATAGCTTGTGCTTCAACTGTAAAAAAAATATTTTCACGAATAATTTGAAGACCGTTACTGTATGTTCGTGCAGCTGCACGCGTGAAGTACAGACTCGGATTTCGGGGGAACTACATTCTTCTAGTCGTTGATATGGACTTACTGTACACCGTCTCGAGCAACCGTCTTCTCGCTCGCATGGACAAATGGATCCAAGAGATTCTCGATGTGACTATTTTCCCCAAGGCTACTCAACTTCTTTGGTTAAACGTCGACTATGGCCTTAACGCCATCTATCTCTTAGCAAGCAAGTATTGTATGTTAAGAAAGTTGCGAACAACGTTCGTCATCACTCCCATCGGCCTCACTACTCATTTTCATCATATTTTGCCCAACTATACCCCCAATACTACCCCACTTACCACTTCCGAGCACCAGCTTTACCAGCAACAGCTCGGGTGTCTACTATCGTTTGCAATTTTGTTTGCCCTCTGATTGTCACAGAGTAACTTGAAGTTTCGAGTCATTGCGATTTTTGCCTCTTGAAGTAACTCTTATAGATAGAGCCCTTCACGAACTGCAGAGCTTGCTATTCTGCTCCGGGTGACGAAAGTGCAATAACCTCATGTTTCGTTGAATTCCAGGAAATAACACCACGCGGTTCAAGGTTGAAGTTGAACCTTGTAAGTGAACGCCTATTGTCGCGGTCGGCAGCGTGATCTGCGTCAACATGCCTGGTCAGGCAAAAGATTGTTGTGGTATTTGTTGAGTAGTTGAGGCCGACCGTACAATAGGTGCCGAAATACATTATTGAAGGGCTTGGCGAAGATAGGCCATATTCTCCCCTTTAGGTCGGCGCAGGTACTGTGCGAGTTGGCTA